GGGGGAAAAATTTTGAAATAAAATTTCCTTTTTCTAAAGGGGGGGGGGCCCCTTGAATTGATTCCAAAACCTACATCCTTGATGTGATACAATAGGGTATGTCCATCCAAAACCGCAATCACTATCAAACACATCACACCCCACCAACCCTTTTTCACTCAATAAGCTCAAACCCTTCACATCCTCCAATAGCCATTAAATTTCAACAACACAAAACTCCTTAGACTCTGTTGAAATTTGAGAATCTTTTCGCCACAACACTATAATTTAAGTACAAATAAGCAGCATATGAAATAGACAGATACAATAAAGAGGGCTCGGAGCAGTCTTCAAGACGCTTGAAATTTCTTGAGAAAATCGAGAATAAATGGCATTGTTTCCATGTCACTGATTATATGGGTTGTTAAATTGGATGTAGAATCAAAATTGCACAGTAAAAAAAACAAGAAACAGAGACAAAGGGAAAAACAAGGGAATTGGGTCTGAATCTTTTTTTTTTTTTCTTCTTCTTTTTGGGTTCTCTACTTTGTGTTGAACAAGATGGGTCGTCAAGAAGCAAGGTAGGTATTGCATAGAGAGGAAAAAGAGTAGATCGAAATTCATACCTTTCCCATTCGTTCATGCTTCACAGAGAGAGAGAGAGAGAATCCATGAAAAATTGAAATTTCTTTGAGTTCAAGACAAGAGAAATCCAGAAAATATTGAAAAATCTCTCTGGTTTTGTTCACAAATTTCTTTGGCTTTGTTCACAGAGAATTGAAATTTCTCTAACTTTGCTCACAGAGAATTTCTCTGGCTTTGTTCACAATTATAAACTAGAGAAAATTATTTTAACCAAACCAGAGAAATTTGTGAGCAAATTAAACAAATTTTAACCCATAAAAATTTCAAAATATAGAGAAAATCAATGAAATTGAGCAAACTAAAAAAATTTCAAACACAGAGAAATTTTTGCTTGTAATATCAAAGTGGCTTGTAGTACCAGTAATATAATCTCATATGAGCTTTGAGGTCTAACCACCCCTACTATCATGAATAACACACAATTACCATGAGCACATACATACATATAGACAATTGACCAAAAATAGAGATGTACCCTCACAAACTAGTTTTTGTTTCCAAATTTGAGAAACTGCAATAATAACCTCCACTGTTGTTGTGTATTGGCAACTATCAACAATGGAAATGTGATCATAACCATCAATTCATGCCCCAACACTTTTTAAAAACAAAGAAATTTCAAACCAGAGAAATTTCATAAATTTTTGTGTTTTGAAATTTCATGAAAACGAAATCAAAAGCAATAAAGATCTATGGCGATTTCAAGAAGGCGAAGCAGCTGATCTCTCCCAGAGGCAAACTTGCGAACTTTCACTATAGAAACGACCACACGTTCTCTTTCTTTCTGGGTCGAAAAAATCATGGGATTGAGACATGAGAGAATGTGTGTGTGTGTGTGAGAGAGAGAGAGAGAGAGAGAGAGGAGAAGAGGAGAGAGAATGAAAAATAGGTGTTAAGGTTCAATGGGACTCATTTTAGATGGGTGAGACATATGGGGTAGGTGAGGGACCTTAAATAGTATAAAATAATATTGCAGACCTCTGTCATCCATTACTAAAAATGGGAGAGGAACCTTAGACTAATTTTCTTTTATTTATTCACCTTTCTTTTGTGTGTGCATCTTGATAAAAAATTTGCTCTCATATTTCATGAGGGCATGTAATTAATTTTTAAATTGTAATGATCATCATACATAAAATTAAATTAATAACAATAAAGATAATAATCAGTTAACTTGAGCTTATATTTAAATATCACTTATGCATCACACTAATTTTTAGTCTTACTATCAAATACAAAATAAAAAATTAAATAAAGTACAATTTTTGTTGAGAATTTAACTCAATAATGTTTTTTCTGAACCAAAATTCTGGCTCCCTATTGCTTATACCAATTGAGAGCATAGGACCACCGACAAAATGGCCGAAAACTGAAAAAGTAAGTACTTTAGAAGTTAGACTGTTTCTTGAAGCATCCAAAGTCTGCTGAATGTTGGTTGAGATGTCTCTTTTTATTTTTTTTGTCAGAGAATGGAGCTCACTACTTGTCCCTACCCCTGTTTACTTGCCACGAACTCTACCTTTTTCTGACTGTAAACGTGACAATAATAATAATCAGCAAATTTCCCAATCAAAAGATTTTTTTTTAAATTTTCACTTAGGCAAAGATTCAAGGAAGCTAACACCGTCACTCGAGATGACCAAAATGCCCTCTGCAACTATTTTTTTCTCAATGCCCTTGTATAGGTTTTGCAGTATCATAAGCCCATTCCCATATCTTCGATGATGCCTTTATAATCAAAGAAAGGTCTAGAAACTATAGATATAGTTCTATGATTGCAACTGCATTTGAGACAGAGGGACAAAGATTTTTGTCTATGTCCAATGTTAAGTTTGGCAAAACAATTTCATCCAAGACTATCCCATGTAAGCATGAATAGCAACATCACGTAGCCTATTACGTCGAAAGATAGATAATCAAATGAGTAATGTTATACCAACAATTTTTTTGTACATAAATTTCATGCAGACAGATGTAGCTTTTGTGATTGTTTTATTTCAAGTCAAAAAACTCATTATTGTAGTTCATGTTTGCAAAAATTTGCTACATCATTCTAGATGAATTTCATGAATAAAAAAAAAAAAATTCATGTTTGTGAATCATTTTCGTAATTGAATTACTGTGATAGGGTCATCTAAGTAATTTTGTTGGCAGAACAGCAACCTCTCCTAATTACCTGTCACCTTTGGCTGTCAGGGTAACCGTTGGAATGTTGTGTTCAGCCTTCAAATCTCCCGCCTATCTTCTCTCCTTTTTTCTTCTCACTTCACACCAAGTCATTGCTTCAAGATACAGAAAAACTCGTAACAGAAATATAAACATGAGAGAAAAGGAAGGGGGCGATAGAAGATAACCTCTAGGTGTCTAACCACCAGTAGGTAAGCCATCTCAAACTCCTTGACAATTCCTCTTGCACATCTCTTTCTTTCTTCAATACATACTAGTAATCAGCCATTGTGAGCTTGGCAGTTCTCAGATACTGAACTCAACGTACCCAATTTGTAAAAGTTGCATTAGATTAGAACCCAATTCTCATCTTCATCAATATTGATATATCAGCATTGCAGAGATGAGATTCGTCATGTCAGTTCTCTACTTTCTTGTATTCTTTTCTTATGCAGGTAAATTAGCAACCATCCCCCCCCTTTCTCAAGCTTCAGTTTGGATTCAGCTGTATCTAATTCTTTTTTTATTTATTTTGAATTTCAGCTGCATATGATCCATTGGATCCCAACGGGAACATAACAATAAAATGGGATATAATGTCCTGGACCCCAGATGGCTATGTGGTGAGTACCTACTATACAATTTCAAAGTTGATGATACAAATTTATATATGATTATTATTGATTGATATCATATGTTGACAAGGTTTTTGATGAATTGTTTACCTGCAGGCAGTTGTGACAATGAACAATTTTCAGATGTACCGGCACATCATGAGCCCTGGCTGGACCTTAGGATGGACATGGGCTAAAAAAGAGGTGATATGGTCTATGGTGGGGGCTCAAACCACCGAGCAAGGTGACTGCTCCAAATTCAAAGGGAATGTCCCACATTGTTGCAAGAAGAATCCTACTGTTGTAGATTTGCTTCCTGGTGTGCCTTACAACCAGCAATTTCAGAACTGCTGCAAAGGTGGGGTGGTGTCATCATGGGGCCAAGACCCCACATCTTCTGTATCGTCTTTCCAGGTCAGCATTGGGCTTGCTGGGACTTCAAACAAGACTGTGAAACTTCCCAAGAACTTCACTTTGCTAGGTCCAGGACCGGGGTATACCTGTGGCCCTGCCAAGATCGTGCCTCCCACCAATTTTCTCACCCCTGATCGTCGCAGGAAGACTCAGGCACTGAGTAAGTCTACTTCAAGATCCGATGATTTATGATTTGAATTGTGGTGACTGACACATTTTTCTAATTCTCTCCCGTGCAGTGACATGGAACGTGACTTGCACTTATTCACAATTTCTAGCCCGGAAACATCCAAGTTGTTGTGTCTCCTTCTCATCCTTCTACAATGAAACAATCACTCCTTGTCCTTCCTGTGCTTGTGGTTGTGAAAACAAAAACAAATGCATCAAGTGGGACATAATTATAATGAAGAAGAACTTATTTGACTTGTATTTGTATGTACGTTTTTTGAGTAGATAATATTTTCTGATCTGTCATACAACTATTGATGGTGATATAGGAGTGATTCCAAACTTCTTAGTGTGGTTGGAGTGAACACACCAAGAAAAGATAATACACCACTGTTGCAGTGCACACATCACATGTGCCCGGTTCGGGTGCACTGGCATGTGAAGCTAAACTACAAGGATTATTGGCGTGTGAAGGTCGCGATAACAAACTTTAACTACCGGATGAACTACACACTCTGGACACTAGTTGCTCAGCATCCTAATCTCAACAACGTAACTCAAGTCTTTAGCTTCGATTACAAACCTCTTGTTCCCTATGAGTCCATCAGTAAGTGCCCCCCACAGTTTTGAACAATTCTTGTAACTTTTGTTGAAATTACTGATCTAAACAAATGCTATTTGATATGCAGATGACACAGGAATGTTCTATGGGATGAAGTTCTATAATGACTTGCTAATGGAGGCTGGGCCATTTGGAAATGTTCAGTCAGAGGTGCTTATGCAGAAGGACCAGAACACTTTCACATTCAAGCAAGGATGGGCGTTTCCCCGGAAAGTCTACTTCAATGGCGATGAATGCATGCTACCCCCACCCGATACATACCCATTTCTACCAAATTCTGCTTATCAGAAAATATTTGGGATCTCAACTGTAATTTATTCGATGCTTTTCTTGTTGATTGGACTCTGGTGATTGTTTTCACAAAGTTTAATAAGCAGGATGAGATCTACAACACCAAGATAACGCTGGAACCCAGGTACACGTTTAAAAATTCTTTGCAGAAAACAGAACGAGCTTGAGTCATTCAAATGTAGTGTGATAATGATGAGTTTATAAATGGGAAAACTAGATATGAACACTTTATAATGAAATCTTGAAGTGCTTTTAATTTTTAATCAGTATTGCATTAACAAAGTACCATTTCATCTGTATGAAAGCAGAATGTATAAAGGGAAATTCATACCATATATTGAAACAAGTTTCTCTCTCAATGCTTTTAATTTTCATTACAATTACTAATAATGTTGAAATTCTACAAACAATATCATGAAGTGCAGTAGTAAACAACCAATATAAAATTACAAAGTAGCAAAATGGTAGTAAATTCACCACCATAAAAACGAGTTTTGTTCGAACTGATGCACACCTGAATCAACACCACTCGTGGGACATCATTGCCAAACACATCTCTTCCATCAGCTTGCTTTAGGTTCTGGGGTTGAGAGATTTTTGTGATGAATTTGTAGTCATACCAGTAAGAAGAATCTTAGGCATATGTGTAGAACACCAAAGACATCAACAGAGCCAACATTAGAGTAAGCAAAGAGATATCTTGACGGGGACTTGTATTTGGCAAATATGGGTAGGCATCAGGAGGTGGCATGACACAATTATCGCCATTGAAATAGATCCTTCGAGGAAAAGCCCAACCCTTCTCAAAAGTGAAAGTTGATGTATCCTTCCGGAAGAGTAGTTCCGACTGTACATTACCTAGAGGACCAGCTTGCATGAGCAAGTCATTATAGAACTTCACTCCCCATAGCATGGCAGTATCATCTGTTCGTAGAAAGAGAAGGAAAAGAAAAACAAAATATACATAAGAAAATTATCTAAGGAGTATAGGAACGAACAAGAACATCTAGAATTTACAATCTGACTTACTTATAGCTTCATACGGAGTTAACGGCTTGTAGTTAAAGCTGAAAAGCTGAGTCAGATTGTCAAAGTTGGGGTGTTGGACAACTAAGTTCCACTGTGTATAGTTCATCCTGTAATTGAAGTTTGTAATTGTAACCTTCACTCGCCAGTAGTCCTTGTAATTAAGCTTAACATGCCAGTGAACTCGGACAGGGCACATATGGTTCGTACATTGGACCAGGGGTGCATAGCTATTCTTGTTTGCTCCTGAAACAACTGATGCTAAATATGGCGAGTTCGGGCTGTGGGAGAGAGAGGGCAAGGGGAACCATGTTAGAGATAGGCTTCAAAAAAAAAAAAAAAAAGTTTGGAAAAGAACAGTCGTGAGAGAACATACTCTACACAGCTCCCTGGCTGAGTATTGTTATTTTGACAGCCACAGGTGCATGTCGGGCAGGGTACAATTGTGTTGTTGTAGAAGGATGAGAGTGAAACACAGCAAGTAGGAGTTTTCTGAGCCAGAAATTGCGAATACGTGCACGTAACATTCCAAGTCACTGCCATAAGATACGGGGTCAAATTCCAAATTGTTCACGTAGTTTCAACAATTGTCAGAAATAAATAGTACAAAAACCGCTTCATCTGCTAGCAATCTCATGCTTCTCTAATATGGATACAAAATAACATGAACTATTCAGAGAGAAAATCAAAAGCCATTAGGAAACATATATTTTGCACCATGTGAATATTAAACCAGTAACATCATTACATGCCACTGCAGTTCAAGATTGATAGTATGTAAAGTTGTTATCAGCTAAATAGAAAAAAGGTTTCATTGTGCTGGCTTGGTCACTAAAGAAAAAAGAAGACGGATAAATAAAAGTAGTCTCTAGTATTCTCCAAAAAACTTACTCATAGCTTGTGTGACTCTCCTTCCATCTTGGGTAACAAATTTGGTGGGTTTGCCAACTTTTGCCGGACCACAAGTATAACCTGGCCCTGGTGCTTTCAAGGTGAAGTTCTTGGGCACTCTCACTGTTTTGTTAGTAGTTCCAGCTCCACCAACACTAATCTGGAATGAGCTCGCAGCATTGGATGGATCTTGCACCCATGAGTTAATTACTCCCCCCTTGCAGCAATTTGCAATCTGCTGGTTGTAAGGAGTTCCTGGCAACAAGTCCACAACTGTTGGATCCTTCTTACAGCAATGTGGAATGTTCCCTTTGAATTTCGAACAATCTCCTTGCTCTGTGGTTTGGCCTCCCACCATGCTCCATATCACCTCCTTCTTTGCCCATGTCCATCCTAGTGACCATCCTGGAGTTTGAATGTGACGGTATTGCTGGAAGTTGAACATTGTAACTACAGCCTATCCACAAGAAAGAAACATGCGTTGAAAGTTGGTTGGAATGAATACAACTTTGAATCCTTAGAATGCCTATTTCTATGAATCAATTTCTCTGGTGGGATAGAGTATGCCTTGACCTCATTAGGGTCAAACCAAACTCTAAAACTTGTTAAATCAAATCATGTGAAGCAGAAGCCTAGATCAGGATTTACTAACATCTAAACATGCACTTTGGAAAAGAACACAGTATAGAAACAACAACAACAACAACAACAACGACAGTAACTCAAAGAATGAAATGAACTGTGCAGTCCCTCATAAGAGCTCAGGCTTGTGAAACTTGAAAGCACAATGCATAGTGCAAACAAATCTCAATTGGACTAGTAGGAGTGTAGGACTCACTAACTCACTATATTAAATAATACAGACCATATAGGGAAAATGTTTTGGATCCCTAAACATCTCCAATAGTAGTAGGCATTTTACCTATCTAAACATTACTATAAAGTATACATTTTGTTTTGTCAATCAACCGTTTAATGTTTTTACTCTAACTTGTGAAGCACGGGTACTCCAAAAATAGTGCCGTACGAGTACTGGGTACTTACCAGGTGCAGGTACGCGTACCGGTATGGCAAAAGAAGGTCTGGTACGTTTGGTTTATTCGGGTATGGCATGGGTACGGCATGGGTACGCCACGAGTACGGCGTGGGTACGCCATGGGTACGCCAGGGCCTTTTTTTTTTTTTTTTTGCCCTTGCAGATCAGCAATTATTTTTATTATTTTTATTTTTTTTTGGTGCCCTTGCAGATCAGTAATTTTGATGTTTCTCTGTTGTTCTGTTTGTCTGTATAAATTGTATAAGCATATCAGCAAATGATTTTGATGTTTTTAAAAAGCAATTTGAACCAAAAAAAAAAACAAGGCCTATAAAGGGTAGTTCTGTGTATGACTATGCATTATGCTTTTGCTTCAGATCCTCCTAGAATTTCTTTATAAAATCTTTAATCATGACAAACTTTGAAGTTTATGCACAAAACATTAAAAATTGATACTGTATTAGTTGATTAGTAGTGGTTGGGAATGATGTAATTTTATGTATTATGCAAATTGCAATTGAAAACCTGCCCCAATTGAGAATTTTTTTCCCTTTACTGTTGGCAATTAACTTTAAATCTTTCTTTGGTCTCCTGTTATTTCTTTGGTCTCACCCTATAAAAATAGCAAATTGATGAGCAAAAAGAAAGATTTTAAAAATAAATTATGATCACAAATTCACAGTGCATAACATGTCAAAGTGAGAGATTTCACAAATATTATTTTTAACGCTTAATGGTTTTAAATTATAGGAAAATGAGTAATTCTTTTTTTAGTTTTGATATTTAATTTTAATTTGTAAGTTGAATCCTTTAACCATGATTATAAATAATAAAAAAAAAAATCGACTTACTACAGTTGTACCCGTATCATCCTTTTTTTGAGTTTTGCCGTATCGGCGTATCCGCACCGTACTCATATCCTCATCCATACTTCATAGCTAAGATCATACTTAGAGGTTGTGAGTGCACAGTGCAACATACCTATAAGGAAGGGAATTTATGTGCAGATGTATTAACAAAAGTGAGAGCTAAGCAACCAGAAGACAACTTGGTGGTGAATGACCCACCAGCTGAGATCAGAAGTTTGCTTATAGCAGACATGATATGAATGTCTAGGGAGAGGGCGTAGTCCCCTTTGTTGTTTTACTTTCCAATGTACCAAAAAAAAAAAAATAATAATAATAATTTATTGTGCATAAACTTTAAAAGTTTGTTATGATTAAAGATTTTATAAAGAAATTCTAGGA